AGGAGGATCACTTCTTAAATTATATAAATGTCTAACCACTATGCTGTACACCTGAAATTAATATAAAATAATATTGAATGTCAAGTGTAATTGAAAAATTTTAAAAGTGGGGGAAAGGTGAAGGGGAATAAGAGGTTCAAATTTCCAGGTATGAAACAAATAAGGATGTAATGTACAGCATGGGGAATATATTCAATAATATTTTGATAGCGTGGTAGTGTCAGATGGTTGCTAGGCTTATCACGGTGATCACTTCTTTAGGTATGTAAATGTTGAATAACTTGTATATACCTGAAACTGATATCATGTATGTTAGCTATATTTTAATAAAAATCTTCTTTAAAAAAAGACAAACCTTTGTACTGTGTGAAAATGTCTACTGTTTTGGTTTTCAGGAAGCAGAGGCTTTTGCCTTATATCACAAGGCCCTGGACCTGCAGAAACACGACCGGTTTGAGGAGTCTGCCAAAGCCTACCATGAGCTGCTGGAGGCACGCCTGCTACGAGAGGTGAGGCACCAGCATGCCAGGAGGCAGGCCTTGGAGCTCGGGAGCCTGGGTCTGTGCTCTGCCCTCCCACTTCCTGGCTGGATAACCTTGGACACATTCTTTCCCCTCTCTGCCCCTCAGCTTCTCCTCCTGTAGAGTGTGCACCTAGCTGGGTTGCTGGAAGGGCTGAATGATCCAGTGAAACATGCAGAACGGCTCTTGACACATAGTAAGAGCTCCAGAATTATTACTATCAGCTGTCGCTGTTACTTAATTAACTTCATAACCACTCTGCCAAGGAGGTGGGGTATATTTGTCCCCATTTTATAGTTGTGGAAACAGAGGCTTCGTGAGGTGTTGATGGCTCAGAGCCTTGCAGCTAGTAAAACGTTATAGCCAGGATTGGAGTCCATGGTTTTCCGGTACCTAACGATTCTGTAGGCAGCATCTTTTGGAAAATGCCATTTGGTTGACAGCCCATGAGCTCAGGGAGCCTGTGTAGGCATGATGGGCTTTTGAAAATGTAGTTAGAGAGAAGGGTTGGGAGGCCAACACAGAGGCAGGCCAAGAGAGCAGAGCCACACTGAAAACACAGGGCATGGCATACAGGGGCAGGCAGGGCAGGACCGGATAGGTGTAGGGACCATGCTAGTAGTGAGTGACTTAAGCCTGAGTTAGCTGCGTCATGGGAATGTGACCTGGAGGTTTGGGGGTTGAAATAGATTTAGGATGATGATGTGTATTTCATTAGGAGGAATGGTTTTTGTTTTCATGTACTCAAACACCAAAAGAGACGATGTGGAATAAGGAAGCAGACAGACTCCGTCCACAGGCATTTTAGGGACCACATAGTCCTTCAGTTGAGCAGAGCCTCCTATAATCCCAGGAAAGCAGACACTTGTGTCTTAAGCCCCACCCTTGGATGGTTTCCCCCACTGGTGAGGCAGATGCAAAGTGAGTTATAATTGTCAGCAGAAAGCATTTATCTCTTTTCTCCCTCAAGGTATCTCTTCATATTCCTAATTGTATAGCTTGCCAAGATTCTTTGGGGCTGGTTTAGTGTCTTAGAATTAGGGCTGTGGGAATTGTGGCCCACCCCTCCCTTATTAGTAGGGAGTGAGTGAAGGCCCAGTAAAGGAAAATGACTTTATTCTACTTTTACTGAGTACCAGTTACGGGCCAGGGGCCAGGAATGTTTCAGTAGTGGGTCTTCCCTCTCAGGCCATAGTGGCCCAGGCCTTCGAGACGTGAGTGAGGTGAGTGCAGAGCTGAGCCAGCAGTCTTAAGGACAGCTGATTCCGGGTGGGCCCAGCACCTGACGGGCCAGTCACCAGGCTTTTGACTGAAGGGCACTTGGCCATCTGTTAGCCTTGGAGTTGTAGATGTGTCCATCTCTCTGTATCAACCTTTCATCATCTTTCAACCTTAAAAGATTGTTTTAGCACCCTCTCCCTTCACTTATAAAAGTAAAACATGCTCATTGTAAACAATTGACAAGCACAGAAAAGTTTCTTTTCACACTCATCTGGCATTGGTGTACTTAATAGTAAACTGGATTGCATAATTACAGTCTTACTACCACTTGCTATAAACAGAACACAGCTGACTCCTAAGAAGTGCACAGCTTACCTGGTGGGCAAGCTGGAGGGAGCTTGTTGGGGCCAGCCTTTCATACCTCTGGGCATCATCGTCTTTTAAGGAGGATGGAGCGTAGTGCTGAATCTAGCTGGTCAGTTCCATGGAAGTTTCGTAGTTATGAGAGCTGCTGTTATGTGTGGATGTACGACTGACTAGGTTAGTCTCTGAAGTAGACTCACAGCCATTGTAATTGTGTTTATACCATTTTTTGGACAGTTCTGCCCCTGGAGGGGCAAAAGTACCTGGACCCCAGTCCATTCTTGGGGATCTTTCTTCAGTATAAACCAGATGACAGTAGAAAATAGTGAAAGAGGCTTGATTTGAGCTCTTCAGTGTTTTTGATGAGATTCCTTAAGAGCTCTAGGGTAGGCTTCTTGGGTTAGTCAAGGAGTGCTTCCTGAAGTTTTCTTGGGTCATGCCTGTTCCATACATAAAGCATGATGTGTGAACATGACCTGTCCCAAGACAAGGCTGGGATGTGGACTTGCCCCTGGAAACTACTTCTTTGTGTCAGCCAGTTTCTCTGTTAGAAAATCTTTTACTCTTTGTCCTGTGGTTACAGTAATAGCATTTCCAATCTGGTTTCATAGTAGTCTAGTCGTAAGGTTTTCTAAGAGTTGTCATAAAAGCTGTAGTGAAATAACTTTTTATAGAAAGCATGTTTACAATCTTTATTCTTTTTTGGCTCACGTTCACTTTTGATATTTAGGGTAGGAATTATTGTCCTTACGTTACAGAGTTCCTTGGAACACTAACTTTTTAGTTAAAGTAACTTGTCTATGGCCATGTGACGAATTACAGAGTCAGGAGGCCAGCCTCCTAACTCCTATTCCAGTGCTCTTCCTGCTGCAGGATGTGTAGGGCTGTGTAAATTGGCTGCCTGGGCACTTGCCTGGGGTGAAGCTCCAGGACCTGCCTACTGTCCCTAGGCAGCCTCCTCACACTCTGTCCCCCATCTTCAAACCTGCTGTGGGGGCCCAGAAATGTCACCATCCAGGCTTGTACTCCCAGGCATGGCAGTAGTGGTGTGGAGGGTTTCCTCTATATCTTTTGGTGACCAGACTACCTGCAAACTGCCTCATGGTGGCCTGGCCTTTCTTTTCTGTGTGCTCGGAGCTGGAGGGGTCCTCTAAGAATATCTGGTGCAGTGCTTTCATTTTCCAGTGGAGGGTGGCACCAGACTGGCCCAAGGGCCTGCGACAGAGGCCGGCCCAGAAGCCCGGTATCCTGCTGGCTGCCTGCTGAGGCTACAGGGCCTAGTGTCACTTCTGCTCCTCTTTTTGCTTTGTTGACAGGCAGTTTCATCTGGTGATGAGAAAGAAGGGCTGAAACACCCTGGGCTGATGCTGAAGTATTCCACATATAAGAACCTGGCCCAGCTGGCAGCCCAGCGAGAGGACCTGGAGACAGCCATGGAGTTCTATTTGGAGGTGTGGTTTTGGCACTGCTCACTTCTCTTTGTGTTTTTGAAAGTTCTTGGTGGGGGTGGGTGAGGTTGTGGTCTTACTGGCTGAAAAGAAGAATTTGTAGTGATGCATCACCAAGCTCTAGTTCCTAAGGCCCTGGTCTGAACAGTGAGTTCAGAGAGGCCTGGAGAGCAGGGGCCAGCGCGTGCATTCTTCCTCTGCCACAAGTCACGCGTTACTATAGGAGAATAGCTTAAACTCTCTAGGCCTCCAGGTGTACACCAATATAATGGGAGTAATAAAAAAGAGGGTGGCTGTGAAAATTAAAGAATTAGTACATATACAAGTGCTAAGAACAGAGCCTGACACCTGGCACCTGTACCCATTCATAATAGTATTGCCACTATTTCTGTATTACTGTCACCATCTCTGTAGGCACCTCTGAAGTGCCAGACACTGTACTAACTGCTTTCCATGCATGCGCTAATCCTCACACCGTTTTGCAAAGAAAGTGTCTTTATCCTCATTTTAGTGAAGAGGAGAGGGAAGCTCAGGATCATGCTGCTGGTCCATGCTGGAGCAGAGACGTGACCGAGGTCTGTCTCTAGATTCCATAATCTTTCTAGAATCCCTCAGGACTTCCTTTTAATCCTACTTCTTTCACTTCTTTTACCTATCAAGTGTGTAAGAAATANAAAAAACCTTTTGTTTTAATTTTTTAATTCAAAATTTTATTTGTTTACATTTAGGTACTTGTTTTTTGTATTATAAAGAAATTTTAGCATTTATTTATTTAACATATTATGATACAAGAAATTTTATGTAACAAATAATTACAAAACAGAAGAACAGATACAAGATACAAGAAATTTTATGTACCAGTAATAAATTTACGATATTTACACACTATAGAAGGCCAAGAACTCTTCGTTGTTGCAAGTTCGTCATAAGTTCAACAAAACGATTATCGTGTTCCAGGGTATTATTTTGCATACGGATATCGTTATTGATTTCTAGAGTTACACTTTTATTCATAAGCATAAATAAAAGAATTAAAAACATTTATATAGATATGGAATTAATACTACCCACATATAATGTGCATCCTTATTTTTCCCCAACAAATTTGGGCAAAAAAAGTGCACATTGTACATGGCAAAATACGGTACTTTAGAGGGAATCCACAGTAGATTAGATAAAGCAGAGGATCAAATCAGTGATTTATTTAGAAGGTAAGGTAGCAGAAAACACCCAGTTAGAATAGCAAAGAGAAAAAGAATCCAAAAAAACAAGGATAGTTTAAGGGCCTCCTGGACAACATCAAGTGTACCAACATTTGCATCATAGGGGTACCAGAAGGAGAAGAGAGAGCAAGGAATTGGAAACCTATTTGAAGAAATAATGATGGAATATTTCCCTAACCTGGCAAAGGAAATAAATAAAACTGCCCAGGAATCACAGAGAGTTCCAAACAAGATGGACCCAAAGAAGCCTACACCAAGATACATCATAATTAAAATGCCCAAGGATGAAGAAAAAAAGAAGAATCTTAAAAGCAGCAAGAGAAAAGTTAGTTTACCTACAAGGGAGCTCCCATAAGACTGACTGCTGATTTCTCAATAGAAACTTGGCAGGCTAGAAGGGATTGGCATGAAATATTTAAGTGATGAAGAACAGTGATGAAGAAGACCTACACCCAAAATTACTTTACCCAGCAAGGCTATCATTTAGAATCTAGGACAGGATAAAGAGCTTCCCAGACAAGAAAAAGCTAAAGGAGTTCACTATCACCAAATCAGTATTATGAGGAATCTTAGAGGGACTTATTTAAGATGGAAAAAAAAAAAAGATAAAAATATGGGGCCGGCCAAGTGGTGCGTTGGTTAAGAGTTGGCTTGGGACCCCAGCTCTGAGCAGCAGGGCCCTGGTTCGGGTCCCACATTAGGGTCATTGACATTGAACCCTCTACAGCTAAGATGGTGAACAACAGCTCGACCTGGAGCTGGGCTGCTGTGAGTCGCCGGTGACGGCGTAGGCTGCAGCCCTTGCTGCAGTGGGTTGCCATGGGCTGCTGTGTGTGGCCAGTAGGTAGTGTGAGCGGCCAGCAGCCGCAGTGATCGGC